CCACATCAGAATCGACCTTCCAGCGCCTATAAGGGGCTCTAGTGGTGCAGTGGTTATGGCATTTGGCTGCTAACCAAAAGGTCAGTGGTTTGAACCCACTAGCCTCTCTGCAGGATTCAAATGAGGCAGTCTGTTTTCCTAAAAATTTATAGCCTTGGAATCCCTATGGGGATCATTTGAGTAGGAATCAACTAGATGGCAGTGCGTTTGGTTTCCTTTAGGTTTTTAGATCCAGCGCCTAGCCCGTGGAGAACTACATTTCCCGGAATGCTTGGCCCGACGCGTTCCCATTTATTTTAAAAGAGCAATAATCATTTCCTATGGCCCTCATATCCGCCTTCGCCAAGGCCACGGTGTTTCATGGGTAAAGTAGTTCTTGTGCTCGTCCGCCTGCACTTGGGGAACCAGCCCAAACTAAACTTCCCGGCAAACAGCGCACTGGCCTGCGAAGACGGGCAAGATGGCGGAGGCTGAAGATAGCGTTTCGCGGTCGGGGACAGTCTCTACTGCCCCAGTTTCTTTCGGATTCTGTCGCACGTCCCTCCGGAGGCGGCTGGTGGACCTGAGAGACAGCGCGAGGGCCGCCCTGGAGAAGGATTTCTTGAAGACTGTGGAAGGGAGGGAGCTGCAAAGGTGAAGCGCTGGGTACCTCACCCTCCAGAAATCAGTGTGGTGGGCTCAAGAGGGAGGGGGCGTCTGAGTTGGTTGTCATAGTGAAGGTGACCTAGAAAGGCTGAATAACAGCTTGAGGAAATTCGCGGAGGCGCGAAGGCGGGAGCTTGTAGGAGGGTTGGGAAAATTGGGCTTGACAGCTGTGGGGATTGAGAAGAGAGGATGCATTACTGAGAAGGAGTGTCTTTAGGACTTGGAAACGCTAAGGTGTGTGCGTTCTAAGAGAGGAAAAGGAGGGGAGGATGACAGGACCTCTACTGTCTCAATTGAAGCGATGGGGGCTACTCCGATATGGGCACTGGGGGAGAGCAGCAGATTCAAGTTGAAGAAGGCTCTCATCGGCTTAATACAGAAAGGGGAGTCTGAGGACCTGAGGGAAGGGCTTCCAGGATATAGTCTACCGCCAAGGAGGCTGCTCTGGAGCCTAGAGCTGGGTCGAGAGTCTGAGCTGGAGACTGTGATTAGCAAATCACTGTGGAATTCACGGAAGTGGGTCTTGGAATGAACGGAATATCCAAAATTGATTCCTTGAAGGAATCATTTAAGAGTTGAGGAAGGAGAAAGAATCCAGAGATAACACCATCAGAGATATAACAGGAGAGCCAGATGAGAACAGGGCATGGAGCAAGGGGTTGAGTTTGGCTTTTGTATTTTCTCTGGATAAAGGGATGTGGCTCAGAACCCATAGACCGTTAACTCTGTCAACCTCACCCCTGTATGTTGGCATCAGTGTGAAGCCCTCAGAAGCCCCCAAGGAA